TTTTTCATGTTTGTTAAAATGTGTCTTATATAGATGGGTGCTCCTACATTGGATGCATATATATTTATAATTGTTATCTCTGTAGTATGTAGTGACCTTCTTTATCTCTTTCAATGATTTTTGGTTTGAAGTTGATATTGTCAACAACCAGAATAGCTGTAGCTGTCCCTGCTTTTTTCTGGTTTCCTGTGGCATGAAGAATTGTCCTCCTGCCTTTGACTTTAAGTCTGTGAATTTCCTTTTGAGTTAGATGTGTTTCTTGTATGCGGCATATTGTTGGATTTTGTTTCTTAATCTACTCTGCTAGTCTGTTTCTTTTGATTGGTGATTTGAGACCATTTACTTTGATGGTTATAATTGGTACATATCTGCTCATCTTTGTCTTGTTATGTTCCTGCTATAGGTTCTGTACATTTTTCCTCTTTTTACTTACTTGCTCTGGTGGTTCCTTTCTATTATTCTTTAAACTGTGGTTGTTTTTGTCTTTTTGTAGAATATCTGTACTCTTTGTAAGGTTAGTTTGGTGGTCATGAATTTCTTCAGTTGTTCTTTGTCGTGGAACGATCTTATCTCACCACTGAATTTATACACAGTTTTGCAAGGTACATCAATCTGGATTGGAAGTTATTTTCTTTCAGGACCTGAAATACTTCACTCCGAACTCTTTTTGATTTGGCTTGTGTTAAGAAATCTGCTGTGATTCTGATGGGCTTTCCATTGTTGGTGATCTGCTTCTTCTCTTCTTCCCTGTAGCAGATTTTAATATTCTATTATTTTGCTGAATTTCTGAGATCTTCATTATTATGTGTCTAGTTATAGCTTTATTTTGATTATGGCTGTTTGGAATTCTGTATGCCTTGCTTATTTGTATGTCAGATTCCTTTATCATGTTTGGAAAATTTTCTGCTAGTACTTCTACAGATAGTCTTTTTATGTCATTTATGCTTGCTGTCTCTTGCTGTTTATTGACACCTATTTTTTTTTTCTATCTTAGGAAGAGGTCTACAGGGTCTGCAAGGTGTTTGGGGGTCTCACTACTAGATCGGACTTCCAGTGATGCATCTGTTTATAGCCTCCAAAGAGCTGGGGTTACAGGCGCATGCCACCATACCCAGTCTCAATTGCCATTTCAGCCTGCCCTGGGGCCAGGGCCAGCATGGCAGCCCCGTGGATTGAACCCTTGGTGCACCTGCTTGCAGGTGCTTTAATCCACTGAACTATTTGGCTGGCCCTACACCTATATCTCATATTATTTTTCTTTGCATCATTTTGTAGCTGCTAAATTGTTATTTCCTGGTTCTTTGTTATTTTTAAGAGATCTTTTATTTCATGTTCATTAGCTGCACCACTGTCTTTGAGGTCTGAGAGTCTGTCTTCAGTTTCATCCAAGTGGCTTTGCGGGCTTTCAATGGAATTCTTAATTTCCTGGAATTCTGTTTGAATCTGTTTCATACATTCTAATACTTTCCTGTATTGTTCATTCAGTGTTTCCATCATTTTTCTATTCTCTTTTTTTAAAAAATCTGTGTCTTCTTTAGCTATGCTGAGCAATTCTTTCATGATTTTTGTCCTTTTTTTTTTTAACCTGAGAGATTATTTCTGATCTGATTTCTTCTGCAGCCTGTTGGACTTGTTTCTTTACTTCAGCTTCTTCACTTCAGAGATTTCAGGTGTGTGATTTCCAAGTGCTTGCTTGTATGTTTTTTCTCTCCTGGATTAGTTCTGGGTGGGCTGGAAAATTGAGATTATCTTCTATTCCTATGTTTTGGCATTTTTGAAGCTCCTGTTAATCACCCAGACATAGAAGTGGTGGGAGAGTGGCAGAGCGGGGGTCCATAAGGTTCTGCTACAGTGAGGAACAGGATGGGCCTCACCAAGGCTTTTGCTACTAGTAGACAGCTGGTTGATACTCAACAAAGCTTCAGTGTAGGTAGTAGGTAGATGCTGGATTCACTAGAATTCCATGGGCCACCCAGAATCCTCCTAAGCTTTTAAAAGGTTGGACCAGCCCCAGCACAAGTTCAACACCTGTATGCTATAGGCCAAGGGATGCAAATCACCAAGGTCCTCCAAATTTATTAAATGGTTGGACCTACACCCTAATTTCTCGGTTTTTTCTGAGCATGCCAGTTGTTTGGTGTGTGTGTTTGTGAAGTAATTACCCACAATTTTATGAATTTCAGCAACGTCCATTGTAAGTTCTTTTTTTTTTTTTTTTTGTATGTTAGGGAAGGGTCTACAGGGTGTTCAGGGTCTCACTACTAGATTGGACTCATAGTGATCTGCCTGTTTACAGCCTCCCAAGAGTGGGGACTACAGGCATGCACCACTGCGCCCAGTCTCAGTTGCCCTCTCAGCACACCCCAGGGGCGGGGCTGGAACAGCAGGCTCAGGGTGGAATCCTTGGCCCCTGCACCTGCTTGCAGGTCCTTTAATCTACTGAGCTATTTGGCTGACCCTCCCTTTCTTATTTCTAATTGCATTAATTTTCATGTTTTCTTTCCTTTTATGGTAAGGCTGATTAAAGTTTTATGCATTTTGTTTATTCTTTCAGAGAGCCATCTCTTCAATTGCTTGATTACTTGCAATTATTTTTGTGTATTTGTTACAGGGTGTCACTATGCAGCTCAGACTCATAGTGATCCTCCTGTTTCAGCCACCCAGCACTGAGATTACAGGCATGTGCCACCACACCTGGTTTTGGTGTTGGCTCACTGCATGTTGTGCTGGAGATCGAACCCAGATCTTGTGCTTGCTTAGGCAGGCAGTTGAACTGCTGAGCTATCTCTGTGGCCCTAATTACAATTTTTTAAAATCTCTATTTCATTAATTTCTGCCCTGCTCTTTAGGATCTCCTTTGTTGAACAAGCTCTTGAATTGTTATTGCTTTTCTAATAACTTGAGATACATCTTTAGTTTATTTGAAGGGGCTCATTATATTTTTCTGATATAAGCACTGACCATTATAAACTCCCCAAATGGGAGTTTATGTTGCTCCTTTCAGTGTGTCCCATAAATTCTGGTATGTTACACTGGAATTATTATTTAATTCTAGAATCTTTTTTTCCCCCAATTTCCTCTGTTATCCATTGATTATTCAAGAGTGAGTTATTTTCCATATGTTTGCATAGATTCTTGGGGTTTTTGTTGTTGTTGTTGGTTTCTAGTTTTGTTGCACTGTGATGTTATGCATGGTAAAATTTTGATTCTTTTGCATTTGTTTAGGCATACTTTATTCACTAGTATGTGGTCTTCTGTGTGGGGCTGAAAAATGTGAATAATGTGGATTCTGTTTTTGTTGGGTTGAACATCCTGTATATGTTCATTAAATCTGTTTATTCAAAGAATTGATTCAACTCTCCTATTTCTTTATTGATTTTTGTTTTTTTTTTTTTAGTGGACCTACTTCTGGTAGTTGGATGTCAAGATTTATCAACTATAATTATATTAATGTTTATTTGATCTTTCATGTTCATCATGTTTTATGATGTCGGGTATGCCATGATTTGGATCATACGTATTTCGTATCACTTTAAATTCCTTTTGAGTACGTCTATTAACCATTATATACCATCTTTCTTTTCCTCTTTTGATCATCTTTGGCTTAAAGTCCACTTTGTCTGAAAATAAGATAGCTATTCCTGCTTGTATTGGGTTTTCTTTTTCTTAAATGCACCTCATTGCTTCAACTTTTTTTTTTTTCTTTCTGTATTTAGGACAGGGTCTACAGGGTCTCACTATGTAGATCGGACTTGTAGTGATTCTCCTGTTTTCAGCCTCCCAAGAGCTGGGATTACAGGCTCATGCCACCACACCCAGTCTCAATCACCGTGTCAGTGTGCCCCATGGGTGGGGCCAGCACAGCTCGGTGGGGATTGAACCCTGGCTGCTGCGCTCTTCATCAACTTTGAAAGATAATTCCATAGAATATAATAGTTTGGCTTGCAAATTGTTTTCCTAAAGAGCTTGAAACACTTCATTCTATTCTTTACCTGCCGTTAAGGTTTATATTGAGACATCTGTTTTATTCTAGTAGAGTTTCTGTTTTTCCTTTCTAGATGATTCATTTTTTTTTTTTTCTGACAACCTTTAAGATTCTGTTCTTGTGTTTTATTTCTGGTATATTATGTATTATGTTGTTTTATTCTGATCTTGATTCTCCAACATTCTGTATGCTGCATTTATCTATAATTTTTTTTTTCCACACTGGACAGTTTGCTATTATTTACACAAACAGCTTTTTTATACCCTTTGTGCTGTCTTCTGACTTGTTTACTAATTCAGATTACTCTTACATTTGTGCTCTTTAAGTCATCCAGCAGGTGGTGGATCCATTTCTTATGTTCCCTTGTTTTGTTTTTCAGGTATCTCTCATTATATCCTGCAGCTATATTCCTAGTTCCAGCACTGTTCTCACATTGGTCTGTTCTGATTGCTATACTTTCAATTATGCTTTTAACTTGGATTTCTGTTTAGAAATTTCCATTTTTTTCTATGTACAAATTTCTGTTCTGAGTCTTGCACATATTAACCCATTCATCTTCAGTATTCTATGGGGGTAGGAACTATTAAATTACTCATTTTACAATTCGGGACACAGGTATAGAGAATGGCCATCGTTTTGGTTTAATGAAAATTCCTTTGACTGAGATGAATAAGAAAAGGAGCATAAGAGGAAGAGGGTAGTGATGTGTTTGCTAGAAATTTCTAGGCCCATTTATGGTGTCCCTGAGTTGCCTCTATTCTATCTTCTAACTTCCAGTGTCTACAGTGGAGAAGGTGAGGCCCTGCTAATTAAGTTTCCTCTGTTGGTAATACATGGAAAGAAGACTGGAATGGCTCCTATCATCAAAACTCAGCATGTTTGATACCTATTTTCACTGCATTATTTTATTGAAGTAGACATAACCTTATTATTCAAGTGTGGCTGCCTAGTTGTTTTTCATTGTGTGGGTGAACATATAGGGTGTTTATCGGTAACAAGACTCTTCCTTCTACAGTACTTTGAATATTCTGCTCAACATGAAATCCGGCACAGCATCCAGAAGGAATTATGTCTTCATGCTACTCTGAATCTGCTTCTGCTGAAAGCATGTGCCTACAAAGGTCCCAGGACCGTTGCCATTGGGGAGCAGATATGGGAAATGCAGAAGGTACTACAGTGCAGTAAATTTACCCACTTTTTTCCAATTATTTTTATTAGCTCTAATGATTAACTGGGAAAGTGTGTGAAATGTAATGCATTAATATTACCCATCAGAATTTCTCTGCCTTTATTAGTTTTCTTGTGTCTGCCCACATGACAAGAAAATATATGTGGTATTGCTAGGAATGAAATAATTGTAAAATTACTTGGTGGAAGTCTGGTTTATGTAGCTCAAGACTTTCTGTGAATTACTAAAAATAGTTGCTTACTTTTGGTATTTTAGGGTGTCTCAAAATTCTTTTTGAGTAATTCACATTTTTCCCACCCAGGAGAGAGAAAAATGTATTTTTTCATAAAGTAATTCTTCCTCTTATTTAGTACTTCTCTATGAATCTATGATTGAAAGAATATATGACATATCTTTTGTTTTTAAACATGTTTTCAAGCTTAATGGGTCATAGTAATTCTTGCATTCTTATATAACAACTGTTTTATACAGTACTGAAATATCATAAGACTGCTTTTTATGATTTATGAGGTTTTTGAGTTTATCACTTAGGAATAAACCAATGGAATGCTTCTTGCTCGAGTAGTTGGTTTAGATTTTTCTCTATTTGCTAATCTTGATTAATATAACAATGTCTTAAGTTAATTGAACATTAGTGGCATAGGTGATGGTGCTTACAGCAGAGACCAAGAGTATTTTATGAGTTATAACTGATCCTGGGTGACTTGAACTGTAGACTGGTATACATTCAGTATGCAAGTCTCACTTCTGCTTCAATGAGATTGTAAGTCATTTGCATATTTCTCAGTGAATTATGTGCCTTACAACTTAATGTCTTACTGTGTTTCCTCTTATCCTAGGATCAACTGCTGTATAATCCGTTCTTAAAACTGTGCCTTTCAGCAAATGGAGAGCATCCAAACTTAGTGTCGTGCAGTCCATCAGATCCACTCCAAAAATGGATTTTTAACCAAAATGATTAAGTGTTCCTTAAAATTAAGGAGTTGGAAATGAGATATTCTTTCTCATAAAACTGTGACTAGGCGTACACTGTAGTTTTGGGAAGTTATGCAAAAGCAGCTAATTGTAACTTATTCCAAGTGCATTTTCCTTATTTATATCTTCAAATGTCTATGTAGCACAGCTACAGAAATCCCGTTTCTGTTTTAAAGCACAATAGCTAGTAATACCAAAGACCGTTTTGAAATGTCCAGATGTAGAAGAGATGTTTACAGAATGATGACAATTATTTTCTTAGTAAACTGATATTTGTGTGTTTGTACGCTTGAGGATATTCATAGCTATAGTCATACACTCACTATGTAACTTCCCCTAGTTTTTTTTTTGGGGGGGGGAAGGATAAAGATCTGATACTGTATTTTTTTAAACTACATAGCAATGGATTAATGAAGGTCAAGCAGTGGCCTTTGTATGGAAACCAGGTAATTTTTATAGATGTAGAATTTACTATTTTAAAATGCAGGTAAAATTATTTTGTCTTTTGTTGTATTGTCTGTCAGATGTTTCCTTAAATATGAAGTTGAATAAGAAGGTATTTTTAACACTTAAATTTGTTGGGAAATCTTAAAATATTTTTAAAATCTGAATCTACTCTACTTGATGCACTTGATGGCTTTTAAGAAAATATATTGTGTGCTTTTCCAAAGCAATTTTTAAAAACTTTATAAATTATTACCTGTTGAAAGTTGTCCTTTTCCTTTCTTCTAGTTTTTTTTCTTACCAAAATTTACTAATTTTGAATGCGTATAACATTGACTTTTAAATATGGAATACTTGACTCACTTAGTGCTACATTTTATTTGTTTTTGATTCATTATGGATTGTCTTTGTAATGAATTTTTTCACAAAAATTTATTTTTACCTATATGGAAAGTACAATAAAAATCCTAATTACTATTATAGTCATTTGCTTAAATTTCTTCCTCGTTTGGATAAAATCTGTACTTAATAATAAATAGGGGAGGTATGAATCTTATATACTCTTATTTTTAATATCTATTGTTGATAAAACCACCACATTTCCCTAAGAAAAATTCAAACACTTGATATAAATAGCATAAAAATTAGAGAATGGAAAACATGCTTTTTAGATATTTAGAAAATTTTCTACAAATTACTACTTTCCTTGAGCATCTGATAGTGATTTTTTTTTTTAAAACTATACTTACTTGGGAGATTTAACACTTTATTTTTGGTAATTTTATAAGTAGATCTCTTATAGTCTTATTCCAGAAGTAAAATATGATGAGCTTTATATTTTAAATTTATCAGAGTCTTAAATATATAAAAGAAAATACTTCTTGATTGTTGCCCCCTTTATTGTTTATAAGTTTAAACTTGTATTCAAATTCCTGTATTCTCATTGATTACTAGCCAAAATTATTTAGATTCAACTAATATTTGTTTTGTGTCTAACTTTGTGTCAGACTTTGGTGAACACAGTTAACACTTACTGTCTTTGAGTGATGTCTCCTCAGACAGAAACAAAGAAATAATTTTGAAATAGTGAGTGCCTGTGTGATGTTACATTTTATAATGCAAATGTTGTTTCACTTATTGGTATTTGATATTTCATTAATAAATAAAAATCATGCTCTTGTTATAAACTAGTAATAATACATAATAAGTATATAGCTATGCTGACAAATGTATAATTTCTATTTCTCAATTTGTTACATTAGAAATGAACATTCATGAACAGCTGCTGCTCTGAAAGCTTGTTGTAACTCCAAAAACAATGTAAAACAATTTTTCAAAAAATATTTTATAAACAAACTTAAGGAAAATCTGTTTTAGGAAAATGAAATCATGCTGAAGGTCCTCCTCGTATCATTATGTGTTGTATCATGATCCAACTTGAATCTGTTTAAATTAATCTGATTTTATTATGGCTGAGTTAAATCCACCTAAAGTAAAAGTCCCTACTTGATATTGGCCTCTCAGACTTTTGCTCAACTGTCAGACTAATAATTTCATTAAACATTGGCCGTTTGGTGTGGGTAGTGTCTTTTATAAATCTGTGTTTGGGGACTTTGTTAACAGGGAGTTATTTATAGACCCTGGCTGCCACCCACTGAACAATTTGAATGCACCCAAGTGTGAAATTGCAAAACTCTTGCTCAATTTGATGCTGCCAAGGCAAATGGTCTAGGTGCTACACAGGACCTGGCATGCTGCCTTCATTCCAGAGGACCAAGCCTTCAGAACTCCACGTTGGTAAACTGCACCTGCTAGGGTCAACCAGATGGGCAGGAGCACTAAAAATGAACCACACACATGGCCACAGCAGAAACTAAGCTACCTGCGAAAATTGCCTATTGCTATAATGAGTGATGATGAATTTCAAATCCCTATCTTATCAGAGAATGGTCTTAATAGCCCAGTTAAGTACTATATAAGCCATCAAAACTTAGGTGCAAAAAAGTGGAGTGCTGATATTTTTGAGAAAACCAGATAAATTCTTAGGAAAGAGTAGGAAAAAAAATCATGAAAAGAAATGCTGAATCACAGGTGGACATGAACTATACAAGTGAAAGTGACAATGAAAGATTCGGCACTGAAATTATTTCATATTTCACTGAAAACAATAAACATATTGATCTTAAGATACTTCGTCCGGAGTATGAGCTGTGGAGGAGAGGTTTTGGAGAACTCTCAGATGCCTCGTCATACTCAGATAAAAGGCCTTGAGCCTACAAGCGTACATTTGTGAAGGAATTTACATACACACAAACATACAGGTATGTTTGTTCATGTATGTTTTTATTTAAAATATTTTTATTTCCTTTCTATGGGTTTCTATTTTAACAACGATTTCAAGTCATCCAGGTGCTTTCAAGAGGAGGTTCGCCCTGCACACATCCCATTTTTGATCTCTAGTTTTCTACAGTATTTCCACACAGTGCCTTACTGAGCCTACTAAGGCAGTGAGATAATAATCTGCAAGACAGTCCCTATCTTCTTGAAGGTCATATGCCAGTTATGTGGTCCTCAGTGAAGTGTCGCAACAGAATGATGTTTTGAAGAGATACTGTCTCATGATGACCCCATAGCATCAGCTTCTGGGGACTTGACTGGCTGAAGATAGAGGAGCAGACAGAAGGCCCATGTTTGTTTATGTATTAAGGACATGGTCTACAGGGTCTCACTATGTAGATCGGACTTGTAGGGAGTGATTTTCCTGTTCTCAGCCTCCCAAGTGCCAGGATTACAGGTGCGCGCCACCACACCCAATCTCAATCACCATCTCAGCGCCCCTTGGGGGCGGGGCTGGCATAGCACTCAAATCCCAGCCCCTGCACTCTGCCCAAGCAGGCACTTTAGTCCCCTGAGCTATCTGGCCAGCCAGGCCCCATGTTCTGATGTTAAATAATTAAAGCAGTACTCCCAAATTTTATTTTAGACATCCTGAGGAACTTATTAAAAGGCAGAATCAGTAGACCTGGGCTGAAGCCTTTGATTCTGGGTTTCTGTCATGCGCTCATGATGTCAAACCTGCTGACCCTGGAGCTGCACTCTTGAGTAGAAAGTATGTCCATTCAGTCAGCGCCTAGATCCTTTGAAACCACAGTGAGGATTTCCACCATACTCCTCCCTTACTTCTTCAGACATCTCCAGAAGTTAATGATAATACCCATTGTTGTCCTTATGGTTTGCTGGAAGCGTCTGTGTCCTTTGTATATCATTGATTTGATCAGTCCTTAACCTCTGATCACCTCCTACTCTGGAAACTTTTATTCCTATTATTTGACTAGAAAACCCTTCTATGATGTGCTCTTCATTATTCTGCCTGAAATGAGGTGGAACATTGAATATGCTTTCTCTATTCGTGAGAGGGCTGTGGTGTTTTGCTTTGTATTCTGTCATTCCCCTTGGACTTCAAGGCTAGGATTTGGAATACATTTCTTCTTTCTCAAAAAAAAAAAAAAAAAAAAAAATTCCCTTTTACTTAAAACAATTCAATGTGGGTACTTCATCCTCTACCTTCGGTGCTGCTGCCACTTACTCAAGAGTCTGTGGATCATTTCTCGTAACTCATTCCAGCTACCAGTTGAGTATTTTAGCTCCTATTGGGCTTCTTGTGTTCCTACTACCTTTATCCTCATAGGCAGATCCAATGCACATCGTCCTGGGATGTAGGCCCTTGCCTGCCCCGTTCCTCCTCTGAGTCTCGCTCCCTGGATAGCACCAGCAGCCATTTCTGCTCTGGCAGCTTGACCACCTTATCTTGTTGAGCACCTTCTATTCTAATTAACTCTGTCTAGAACATTTTCCGCTTTGAGACTTTCAAACCTTTGGTCTTTAAAGTTAATTCTTTTTCACTCCTAATTCCCACGTCAATTTCTTCAGGACACCTACCCAGAAAATGAACAACAAATACCCTGGATATAGAAAATACTTGCCCTTGGTAACCCCATACCCACACAGTTTTCTTCCTGTGCTGATGTGGTTCGCACCATGTTGCAGCTCTCCATCTGCCTCTTTTCTTCCCTCCCTGCTGTGCAGCACACTCCTCTACACACACTTTTCTTAGGTCTCCTGTCTCATGGATGCTGTGTCTTCCTCTGTCCCGTTTTGCTTTCTCATTTTGGAGGAGTGTATCATGCCATAATTTTCTGGAAAAGGTTTCAGGATGTATGCAGTTTCAAAATTTTTATATTGAAAATATCTTCATTCTCATATCTAAGAGTATGGATTTCTTTCATGGAAATGCTATTTTTTTCTGATATGTTGAAGGTTTTATTTTATCTTCTACATTTTAGTATTGAAAACTCCAATGCATTTTTTTTTTATTCTTGACCTCATGTTAGGGATCTTGTTTTTTCCTCTCAGATAGTCACACATCTTTGTACTCTCCCAGTGTTCTAAAATTTGACATAAAAATTCTGTATTACTATACGTTTTGCTGTTTCTTTAATGTCTTTGTGAGAAAAGTGCCAAATTTTTCTTAAGTGTGCCTCTTTTGTATTCTTCATTTCATCATATCAGACTTCTAATATGATAAATCCTTAACTGATATTTGAGTATAAAATAAAGTATTGGGCTGGGGAGCTCAGCAATCTACGCACCTGCCTAGCAAGCCCAAGGACCTACCTGGGTTCAATCTTTGTTAAGGTATGCCAGGCTGATTGTGTTGTCCCTGCCAAGGAGACCGGGCGTGGTGGTGCATGCTGAAGTCTCAGCACTGGTGAGGCTGAGGCAAGAGGATCGCTATGAGTCAGAGCTATATAGTGAGACCCTGTACCAAATAAACACATAAATAAATAAAAGATTTTTTTAAAAAAGAAAAGATATTTTTCTATTGTACTTTTCCTCTAACTCTGTTTTTATGTCTATCATTTATAATTTCCAAGAGCATTTCCATCAGTGCTTCACAGTGTACCACAAGAAATTGTTATTTTATAAATGAAACTCATTTTATAAATGAAATCTTATTTTATAAATGTGATTGTTTTATCTTTCTAAGAATATTAATGGTTGCTGAGGTTTTTTTTTGTGCATCTTTTAGTTTCCATGTATTCCATGTTTTTTTTTTAAAAACTACTTTTTAAAAACTGATTATTTTCTGTCCACTCCATATTGGGTACTTTCCTCAAGGGTCTGTTGGTCTTTCACAATCTGTCTCTAACAGGAATATCCCATACTTACTGGAAGCTTTAGTGCTAGCAAGGCTTGTTGGTGTGGTCTTTCCTGTGGAGTGACCTAGCGGGGGCCCTTGTACAACAGGGGAAAGGAGACATTAAATCCCCAGGGAAGACCCTTCCAGTCACCTGCCTGGAGTGAGCAAGTCTCATTGCTGTGCAAAGAAGGGAGCTGGACACGCAGCTTCTGCTTGAATAGGAGAGGGTTGGGGGCTCTCACAGTGAGTGGACTGGCAGCCAGGCATCCCCCTACTCACTGTCTCCCTCACTCCAGCCTGAGCAGTTCCTGCTGCTTTCCGTAGTCCTGCAGTGTAAAATGGATTGTTGATCTGGTTTTTCCACTGCTAGCTTTGGATTGTCTGTGTTCTGTTGCCAGCCATTACTGATTTTCTTTCTAGCTTTCTAACGGTGGTGGTATTGAACCTCTCTCCTGCTCTTTTCCCTCTGGATTTATGATTCCCCCCACCCATGTCTTCACTGTCATTTCCGTAGGCTTTTGGGATACAGC